ATAAACAAAACTGACCTACTCTCATTCCTAGTAATAACCAAGAAGACCACATTAGTGAATAGGATAAACAAATTATTACTAAGCATGCAGTGCATACACTAAATTGTCTAACTAACATCTCTGATATCACCATTAATCTGAAACATCTTGGAATAAAATTATTACACTTAAGGAGCACATTAAACAGGTAAGAGGAAAAAAGAAATGGTGTAGGTAGTGGTGTCAAGGGAAGGACATTGGTAAAAGAAAAATGAGAGAGAGGGTCAAAGTTTTGCATAATTAGCAGCAAACTGTTTATCCCTTCATCTACAAGACTAAGTTATTACAAAGTGGTTAATAACATAGAAATTATATAGTACAGTGGACCCCCGCATACCGTTGGCCTTACATAACGTTAAATCCGCATACCAATACGTTTTATCGCTAAGATTTTGCCTCGCATACCGCTAAAAAACCCGCTCAATGCTGTTCGTCCGAGACGCGTCTAATGTGCGGCCTTAGCCAGCCTCACGTTCCGCCGGTGGCATTGTTTACCAGCCAGCCTCTGCGGTAACATCCAAGCATACAATTGGAATATTTCGTATTATTACAGTGTTTTTGGTGATTTTTATCTGCAAAATAAGTGACCATGGGCCCCAAGAAAGCTTCTAGTGCCAACCCTACAGGAATAAGGGTGAGAATTACTATAGAGATGAAGAAAGAGATCATTGATAAGTATGAAAGTGGAGTGCGTGTCTCCGAGCTGGCCAGGTTGTATAATAAACCCCAGTCAACCATCGCTACTATTGTGGGCAACAAAAACGCAATCAAGGAAGCTGTTCTTGCCAAAGGTTCAACTGTGTTTTCGAAACAGAGATCGCAAGTGATAGAAGATGTTGAGAGACTCTTATTGGTGTGGATAAATGAAAAACAGATAGCATCTCTCAAGTGATCATAAGTGAAAAGGCTAGGAAGTTGCATCAGTTTTAATTAAAAAAATGCCTGAACAGTGATGATGTGAGTGAATTTAAGGCCAGAAAAGGGGTTTGAGAGATTTAAAAAGGTGTGGATACATAGTGTGTAAGGGGCATGGTGAGGTGCAGTTGGCCACAAAGCAGCTGAAAATATGTGCAAAAATTAAAAGGATACGTAGAAAGTGAAGGCTAAAACCCTGAACAAGTTTTTAATTTGTGATGAAACAGGCCGTTTTGGAAAAAAATCCCAAAGCAGGACCTACATTACTCAGGGGAAAAGGCACTCCCAGGACATAAGCCTATAAAAAAAGCAGGCTTACTCTGTTGATGTGTTCCAAGGGTACGGGTAATTGAAAAGTGAACCTTTATTAGGGTATCACTCAAAACTCCCAAGCATTCGACAAAATATCCTAAAGGCTAATTTGGTGTGTGTGGGGGGCAAACATAAGGAGGGGTCACTGGGGATTTTTTCTATGACTGGTTACCCAGCTTTTCCCCCCAATGAAGATTACCTAACGAAAAAAAATTAGACAAGTCCCCCTGGGTTAGAAAATGCCCCTGGTCATCCTACAGACTGGCAGAGCGATTTTAGGGAGACAAAAGTTCATTAAGGGAATTTTTTTCCCCTCCTATCCCACTCCTCTCTGCAGCCATGGCCCAGCAGGTTATTGCAAATTTAAAAAAAACTGACACAAAAGCTCTGTTTAAAAGGTGCTTTGTATCCCTCAGAAACTCAACTGCTCTAAGAGACTTTTGGAGAGATCATTTTAATATCCTCAATTGTGTAAACCCTTTTATGGTGGGCTTGGGGGGAGTGACTAAGAGGATTGAACTCTGTTTGGGAAGAAAGTGGCCAAAATGTGTAGAAAAAAGGTTTTTTGAAGGATTTGAGGCTAACCCTGAGAGGAGTATGCCAGTGAGGAATCAATTGTGGCTTTGGGGAAGTCCTTGGGGTTGGAGGTTTAGTGGGGAAAGATGTGGAAAGTTGGGGAGGGGAAAAGAAGAACAACCACTGATGAGCTGATAAATCAATTCAACGCAAGAGGCCAGACCTGGGGAAAAACGGGGTTGGAGGGGGGAGAGAGAAAATTAAAGAATTTTGCCTAAACAAAATTAAGGAAATTGTGCAATTGGCTGAAAGTGCAAACCTTTTTTTGATGAAAATCCCCCTCACACAGCTATTGAAAGCTGCTGGGACTATTACACTGACAAGTTGTAAAAATTTGGGGAAAGTTAAAGGAACGAGAGGTACAGGCACTTGGACATATATGTTGTGCAACGAACCCAGTGACTCTGAAGTGGTCCTAGTGGCATTAAAAGAAAGGGAAGAAACCCCCAGAAAAGGGACTTGACCCTAAAGTCTTAATGGAAGGGGATTCCCCTTCAAAACATTAAGACTCTCTCCTCTCCCTTTTCCCCATCAATCATCACCAGACCCCAAAAAAAGGGTAAGTGTCATGTATTGTGCATGCCTTTTTCAGTTTGTGGTAAAAAAAATTAATATTTCATGTGGAAAAAATTTTTTTTTTTTCATACTTTGGGGTGTCTTGCAGGATTAAATTTTGTTTTCCTTTTTTTTAGGGGGGAAAATTCTTTCCCCTAACGAAAAATTTGCAAAACAATGAGCTCTTGAAGGTTAATTCGTTATGCGGGGGCCACTGAGTTAGATAAAAAAATTTCCTTGACTTGGACAAAAATGTGTCTACAAGGTACTGTAATGTAAATAACCACAAATAAAAAGGAAAAATTTTTAATTTCTATACAGTGGACCCTTCTTTTTGTCTATGGTACAGAACCCTGCCCATGCAAAAACCCGCCCCCCAACGCTTTTCCCTCGGGCAATTCGTCTTGTTTCTCGGTGAGTGACAATCCGCGAGGTCATATAAACATTTTTGATAACCATTGTTTTTTGGCATTGTTTATTGTGTGTGACTGCTAAATAAGCCACCATGGGCCCAATGAAAACGAGTAACACGTGAATTAAAAAAAATCATAGCAAAGTCCAAAGTGGAGGAGGGAAAAGGGGGGGGAATGGGCCTTTTTCAGTGATTCTTGATATGTGCGCCCCCCAAGGAAGGTTCCTTGATGTTGGGGAGGGGCTCTTGATTTGGGAAATTTGGGTCTGTGCTCCATTCCCCCCAAATTTAAACCTGAAGCCTTCCACATCCCCCCCCCCCGGCGCTGTATAATCCCCGGTTTAGCGCTTCCCCCCTTTATTTAATAATAAAGATATGTGCGATATAAACAACACGATAATAAAGGTACGCGCCCGTATAAAGGGCAGAAGTTGGTTATTTAAACGATAGAAAAAGGACAGCATGAAACCCAACTCCCCCAATGTTGTTGGGGTTAGTGGGTGTGAAACACCCCTGTCGCCTTTTATCCCCCTATGTACGGCTTATGCTCTCAGTGGCCCTTTTACACCCAAAAACAACAACAACACCTTTCGTGCATACATAATGACATTTTATTATTCTAGAAAAATATGTCATGTTTCATGTTATCAATATTGTTTGTCTATTAGATGAATTGTGATAGATAAATAAGCCGTGGAGTTGACATTAGGCGTATTGAAGCATATTGTCCTGTCTCCAAAATAAAAATCGCTTCCCCTCCCCCCCCCTCGGAAGGTTCCTTGTGTTGGTGAGGGGGTTTGTTTTGGGAAATTTGGCTGTGCTCCGTTCCCCAATAAGCCGAAAAGCCTTCCACATCCCCCCCCTCCCCCGGCGCTGTATAATCCTTAGGGTTTTGCACTTCCCCCTTTATTTAAAAAATAATTCCCTCTCCCTTCAGTTGCCATACCCAACAAGTCTTTAAAAAAAGGTAAGTGTGATGTTGAATGTTATTTTAACATTTTATTATGCTTTTATTATTTGTCTTCTTTTGCATTAAAACTATAACTAAAAAAAAATTTTTTTTTTAATATTCGAGGTCTGAAATGGATTAATTGGATTTACTTTTTTTCTTTAGGGGGGGAAAGGTTTCCCTTTTCGCCAAATTTCTCTGGAACAGATTAAACACGAAAACCGAGGGCCACTGTATTCAAAATTTCATTAAAAATGTTATTTTCTTGCAAAACATTTGCTATGTAACTTTAAATGCGGGGTTTTAGTACTGATTAAGGGAGCTGCCTATTAGATTAATACAAAGTATTTCCTAAAAAATTTTTTATCCAAATATTTATTAAACTGCCCCTTTTTAAAAAAACTTTTTTTTTGTGTTTCCCTTTTTTAATTTAAAGAACTGCTATTTTTCCCGTTTTTGGGTTTTTTTTGTTTTTTAGGGGTTCCAATAGACCCCCGACGTCTTTAAAAGGGGGATAAAACAACTGAAGTCAGTACTAACCCGCCAGGTTGTAGTTCCCATGTTGGATTTCGCAACAGCCCGGTTGATAGGCCAATTCATGTGAGGGTGGTATATAACAGGCCTGGAGGCAATGCCCCAAAACATCCAGGTAGGGAAAAAAAAAAAAAAAAATTATGGTTACTTTTTTTACACTGCATTTTCATTCAAAAAATAAAATAAAGCCTCTCCTCACTTAACACAGAGTTCTCCCCTAAGACCAGTTGGGAAATAAACGTCGCTAAATGGGAGATACACAATGGTAATGGGGTTTGTGTCAACCCTCTCTGATATTGTTGTAAGTCATCTTTGCACCCTTTACAACATTTCCCGGGATATTTTTTAATGTTTTACAATTTTGTAATAAACAGAAAGAGGAAATCAATCTAAAATACATCGATATGATACTAGTCAGAGAGCCTGTCGTAAGTCCAAAAATCGCTAAAGGGAGAGGCTGTAATCTGTACATATTATTCGTACAGCTTGAAGATTTATTTCTTTAACAAATTAACATTCATTACAAAAGGAAAAAATCATTTCTAAAAACAAAACAAAAAACCAACCATTGTACACCCCTTTTAAAACTCTACTCCCCGCAGTATGTGAGTATACCACTATATCCAATCATACGTTGGATTTTAAAGTGCAGTCTTTTCTGCTTTAAAAAAATTTTTTTTTTTTTTACTGGTTTCTAGGTAAAAACTGCCATCTTACATCACAAGATGACATATGACAAACAGAATATCAACTTTTAGAAATAAAAAAAGACCTTAGATATAATGAGCAACATAACTGCTGCAATTTCCAGAATATCTCGTATACTCTTACATTAATATTTCGAAAGACTCGACAAGTACTTGCTTGACACATTCTACTGAAAACATTACATGATAAAATTATTTCAACAATATTTGCACTATATAATACCTATTTCTTAAGTAGTTACACTGTGGTTTCTGTCATTATCTTGAGAAGGTTATTTCTTGCTTGTGTAAGTGCCTTAAAGGCTTCTTCGGCTCCAGGTGCCTTGCACTTATCGGGATGAACTAGTGCCGCTAATCGTCGATATGCTTTGTTGACTTCATCCCTAAGTCACAAATAAATGTTAGTTTCACATTTCACTGCCCCATTGAAAAAAAAAAAAAGAAAAATTTTATTTTATGTGCTTGATATATTAAGGGAAACACTTGACCCAAAAGATTTGCCAAAAATCAAAATTTTTTCGAGATGGCAAAGAAAATTTGTGATTTTAAAAACCCAATGAAAACTTGAAATCAGTGATTTGAGAAGAAAGGTGCATTTAATAAATTTTGGAAAAAGAATTAGAAAGGGGAAATCTACAGAAACCCACAGAAAAAGAGCATTCCCATGTTACAGCAAACTTATGTATTATTACACTTGATTTTTCTTCTCTTTTAATGTTATTAAAATAATTATATTATACAAAATGTATTATTTTATACAGGACAATTTGTAAGCTCAGCCGGATGGGTTTAACCATAGAACTGATGAAGGAAAAAAGATGTGGTGCATTGAGGTATCTGTGGAGACTAAACGTTATCCATGAAGACAAAGAAGGATATGTACAAGAGTGTATGGGTGTGAAGCATGGATTGTAAATGCTGCAGTGAGGAGGCAGTGGAGATATCCTAAGGGCAATGTGTTGTAAATATTATGCAGACAATTTGGAGTGTGGAAACTAGAAGGTGTGGAGTTAATAAAAGTATTAGTCAGAGGGCTAAAGAGGGGTTGTTGAGGTGGTTTGGTCATGTAGAGAGAATGGATCAAAGTAAAATGATATGGAGAGTGTATAAATCTCTAGGGAAAGGAAGGCAGGGTATGGGGTCATCCTCGAAAAGGTTGGAGGGAGGGGGTAAAGGTGGTTTTGTGGGCGAGGGGCTTGGACTTCCAGCAAGTGTGCGTGAGCGTGTTAGAGGGGAGTGAATGGAGACGAATGGTTTTTGGGACCTGATGAGCTGTTGGAGTGTGAGCAGGGTATTAGGGAAACCAGTTATTTTTATGGAGTCGGACTCAAGTACTGGAAATGGGAAGTACAATGCCTGCACTTTAAAGGAGGGGTTTGGGATATTGGCAGTTTGGAGGGATATGTTATATATCTTTACATATGCTTCTAAACTGTTGTATCTGGGTACCACTGCAAAGACAGTGATTATGTATGAGTGAGGTGAAAGTGTTGAATAATGAAAGTATTTTCTTTTTGGGGCACCCTGCCTCGGTGGGAGATGGCTGACTTGTTGGTAAAATGAAAGGGGGTAAGACAGCCGGGATTGATGGGATAAAGATAGAAATGTTAAAAGCAGGTGGGGATATAGTTTTGGAGTGGTTGGTGCAATTATTTAATAAATGTATGGAAGAGGGTAAGGTACCTAGGGATTGGCAGAGAGCTTGCATAGTTCCTTTGTATAAAGGCAAAGAGGACAAGAGAGTGCAAAAATTATAGGGGGATAAGTCTGTTGAGTATACCTGGTAAAGTGTATGGTAGAGTTATTATTGAAAGAATTAAGAGTAAGACGGAGAATAGGATAGCAGATGAACAAGGAGGCTTTAGGAAAGGTAGGGGGTGTGTGGACCAGGTGTTTACAGAGAAACATATAAGTGAACAGTATTTAGATGAGGCTAAAGAGGTCCTTTGTGGCATTTATGGATTTGGAAAAGGCGTATGACAGGGGGGCAATGTGGCAGATGTTGCAGGTGTATGGCGTAGGAGGTAGGTTACTGAAAGCAGTGAAGAGTTTTTATGAGGATAGTGAGGCTCAAGTTAGAGTACGTAGGAAAGAGGGAAATTATTTCCCAGTAAAACTAGGCCTTAGACAAGGATGTGTGATGTCACCGTGGTTGTTTAATATATTTATAGATGGGGTTGTAAGAGAAGTAAATGCGAGGGTCTTGGCAAGAGGCGTGGAGTTAAAAGATAAAGAATCACACATAAAGTGGGAGTTGTCACAGTTGCTCTTTGCTGATGACACTGTGCTCCTGGGAGATTCTGAAGAGAAGTTGCAGAGATTGGTGGATGAATTTGGTAGGGTGTGCAAAAGAAGAAAATTAAAAGTGAATACAGGAAAGAGTAAGGTTATGAGGATAAAAAGATTAGGTGATGAAAGATTGGATATCAGATTGGAGGGAGAGAGTATGGAGGAGGTGAATGTATTCAGATATTTGGGAGTGGACGTGTCACCGGATGGGTTTATGAAAGATGAGGTGAATCATAGAATTGATGAGGGGAAAAGCGGTGAGTGGTGCACTTAGGAGTCTGTGGAGACAAAGAACTTTGTCCTTGGAGGCAAAGAGAGGAATGTATGAGAGTATAGTTTTACCAATGCTCTTATATGGGTGTGAAGCATGGGTGATGAATGTTGCAGCGAGGAGAAGGCTGGAGGCAGTGGAGATGTCATGTCTGAAGGCAATGTGTCGTGTGAATATAATGCAGAGAATTCGTAGTTTGGAAGTTAGGAGGAGGTGCGGGATTACCAAAACTGTTGTCCACAGGGCTGAGGAAGGGTTGTTGAGGTGGTTCGGACATATGGAGCGAAACAGAATGACTTCAAGAGTGTATCAGTCTGTAGTGGAAGGAAGGCGGGGTAGGGGTCGGCCTAGGAAAGGTTGGAGGGAGGGGGTAAAGGAGGTTTTGTGTGCGAGGGGCTTGGACTTCCAGCAGGCATGCGTGAGCGTGTTTAATAGGAGTGAATGGAGACAAATGGTTTTTAATACTTGACGTGCTGTTGGAGTGTGAGCAAAGTAACATTTATGAAGGGGTTCAGGGAAACCGGCAGGCCGGACTTGAGTCCTGGAGATGGGAAGTACAGTGCCTGCACTCTGAAGGAGGGGTGTTAATGTTGCAGTTTAAAAACTGTAGTGTAAACCACCCTTCTGGCAAGACAGTGATGGAGTGAATGATGGTGAAAGTTTTTCTTTTTCGGGCCACCCTGCCTTGGTGGGAATCGGCCAGTGTGATAATAAAAAAAAAATATATGCTTGTACATATATGTGTAGTGTGACCTTAATGTAAGTAGAAGTAGCAAGACCTACCTGAAATCTTGCATGGTTATGAGACAGAAAAAAGACACCAGCAATCCTACCATCATGTAAAACAATTACAGGCTTTCGTTTTACACTCGCTTGGCAGGACGGTAGTACCTCCCTGGGCGGCTGCTGTCTACCAACCTACTACCTAGTGTGTGTGTACTCACCTAACTGTGGTTGCAGGGGTCGAGACTCAGCTCCTGGCCCCACCTCTTCACTGAGTGCTACTAGGTCCTCTCTCTCCCTGCTCCATGAGCTTTATCATACCTCATCTTAAAGCTATGTATGGTTCCTGCCTCCACTACCTCACTGAAGTATTTCTTTAGTCACAGACTACTCTTTGACTGAAGAAATACTTCCTAACATCCCTTTGACTCATCCGGGTCTTCAACTTCCAATTGTTACCCTTTGTTTCTGTGTCCCCTCTCTGGAACATCCTGTCTCTGTCCACCCTGTCTATTCCACGCAGTATTTTGTATGTCGTTATCATGTCTCCCCTAACCCTCCTGTCCTCCAGTGTCGTCAGGCCGATTTCCCTTAACCTTTCTTCGTAGGACATTCCCCTTAGCTCTGGAACTAACCTTGTCGTAAACCTTTGCACTTTCTCTAATTTCTTGACGTGCTTGATCAAGTGTGGGTTCCAAACAGGTGCTGCATACTCCAGCATGGTCCTGATGTACACGGTGTAGTGTCTTGAACAATTCCTTACTAAGGTATTGGAACGCTATTCTCAGGTTTGCCAGGTGCCCATATGCTGCAGCAGTTATCTGGTTGATGTGTGCTTCTGGAGACGTGCTCGGTGTTATACTCACCCCAAGATCTTTCTCCTTGAGCGAGGTTTGCAGTCTTTGGCCACCTAGCCTATACTCTGTCTGCGGTCTTTTTTGCCCTTCCCTGATCTTCATGACTTTGCATTTGGCGGGGTTAAATTCGTGAAGCCAGTTTCTGGACCAGGTGTCCAGCCTGTCCAGGTCTCTTTGAAGTCCTACCTGATCCTCATCTGATTTAATTCTCCTCATTAACTTCACATCATCTGCAAACAGGGACACTTCTGAGTCTAACCCTTCCATCATGTGATTCACATATACCAGAAATAGCACTGGTTCTAGAACTGACCCCTGTGGGACCCCGCTCGTCACAGTTGCCCACTGTGTGCGCGCAGCACGCACGCACGCACGCACGCACGCACGCACGCACACACACACACACACACACCCACCCACACACACCCACCCACCTACCTGCCTCTGGGTTTTCTTCTATTTTTCTTACTAGTTCTTGTTTATTTCCTATCTCCATGGGTAAGTTGAACAGAATTCTTCCTCAGTAAGCCATGCGTGTCGTAAGAGGCGACTAACATGCCAGGATCAAGGGGCTGGTAATCCTTTCTCCTGTATACATTACTAAAATGAAAAAGAGAAACTTTTGTTTTTCTTTCTGGGCCATCCTGCTTTAGTGGGATGTGGCCAGTTTGTTGAAAGAAGATTTATACATACAAGACGAGTATCACTGCCATGGTGTTGTATATAGTATTGCAGCGTCAACACACTAGTGATCAGGTCTTATCATAAGTCAACCCAGACATACTTTACCAGTTCACCACAACTCATTCTTCACAAAAATGCAATTAAAATACTAACTTATACTCATTAGCCACAGCTCTGCTATCTACACAGCACTGGTTAAGTTACCAGATTGACCAAAATGTTGTGCGTGAAGCAATAATAGAAATTAATGGGGCTCTATATTAAATTTTCCAGCATAAGAACCCACTTAATGGAATTTTTTGTTTTCCAGTTTTATTTTCAGTTATATTTTCTTTAAAATTCACCATAAATCTTTAAGAAAAAACTATACTATTTTCTATATTTTTTAAAGAGATGGGCAGTCAGGTCCTGGAACTAGTATCAATGCACCCACAGCAAAGATAAAAATAAAACTGGCCAACTCAGGAGCTACACATTGTGATAATAAAGCAAGCATCCCTCCTAGTAAGAAACATCAGCATTAAGGCAGATCACAACAGAGCACTGTTAAAAGTTATCCCATGGATAACCAATACAGTAGGCTCCTTTATAGGGTGACACTGATTGCAAATACAATTAAAAAAAAGTACATCCAAAGTTAAAGTGTGTACAATAAAGGCTTTTCAATGTGCTATTCAACTGCACTCACAAGAAAAAGAGCACTATATAAAGGAGCTTTATAAAAGCTTACTGTATTCCAGATTCCACAGTTTCTTCAGTACAATTAATTTACCACCAACACGGCTCAAAACAAAACTTAGACTTTCTTCTAAGAAAGAGGAGCTAACATTTCTACACTAAATGTTTGAAGCTCATCAGAAGAGGTATTTTCATTATCAGACAGAAGCCAATGCAACAATTTAATAACAATGACAAATTGGAACTTGCACAGCCAAATAGCATTGTAAATTTTAGTTTGAGAAAAATACACCAAGGAGCAAAGTTCAAAGTCAATCAGAAGAAACATTCTCTAGTTACTTTATGGAAACAATAATCCCAATTTTCTCTTAACTGTTAAACAGTAAAACCTCAATATAATGAATTTTAAATTCAATAGACAAAATCTGTAGCCGGACAACATTTGGAGGCAACAGATAAAGTCCATTAAACCCAGAAATTGTCTATGATTCTGTCTGCTGAGTATGGCATGGTTGACAGATAGGCAATAGAGAATTTGCATAAATGGGGAGAAATCAGAGTGGGGACACATTACAAGCGGTGTTCCACAGGGGTCAGTGTTGGGCCCCTTTGTTGTTCACAATATACATAAACGATTGGATCAAAATTTTTGCCAATACCCTTAGTTTAAGTTATTATAAAATCACATGGTGGTGTCTAGGTAAGCTAGATGCTGTTTGATTACTGGTAAATTCCAGTTATCTGAGGCTTGGATAAACTAGGTTTAAGTTTATTCTTTTTCTTTCAATAAACCGGCCATATCCCACTGAAGCAGGGTGGCCCAAAAAGAAAAACAAAAGTTTCTCTTGTTAACTTTAGTAAAGCATACAGGAGAAAGGGTTACTAGTCCCTTGCTCCCAGCATGTTAGTCACCTCTTAGGAAAAGCATGGCTTACGGAGGAAGAATTCTGTTCGACTTCCTCATGGAGACAAGAGGAAATAAACAAGAACAACTAGTAAGAAAATAGAAGAAAACCCAGAGGGGTGTGTATATATATATATATATATATATGCTTGTACATGCATGTGTAGTGTGACCGAAGTGCAAGTAGAAGTAGCAAGATGTACCTGAAATTTTGCATGTTTATGAGACAGAAAAAAGACACTAGCAATCCTACCATCTTGTAAAACAATTACAAGCTTTTGTTTTACACTCACTTGACAGGACGGTAGTACCTCCCTGGGTGGTTGCTGTCTACCAACCTACTACCTAGGGGTTAAGGTTCTTCTTTCTTTCTTTCAACATACCAGCCGTATCCCACCGAGGTGGGGTGGCCCAAAAGAAAAAACTGAAGTTTCTCCTTTTAAATTTAGTAATATATACAGGAGAAGGGGTTCCTAACCCCTTGCTCCCGGCATTTTAGTCGCCTCTTACGACACGCATGGCTTACAGAGGAAGAATTCTGTTCCACTTCCCCAAGGAGATAAGAGGAAATAAACAAGAACAAGAATTAGAAAGAAAATAGAAGAAAACCCAAAGGGGTGTGTATATATATGCTTGTACACGTATGTGTAGTGTGACCTAAGTGTAAGTAGAAGTAGCAAGACATACCTGTAATCTTGCATATTTATGAGACAGACAAAAGACACCAGCAATCCTACCATCATGTAAAACAATTACAGGCTTTCGTTTTACACTCACTTGGCAGGACGGTAGTACCTCCCTGGGTGGTTGCTGTCTACCAACCTACTACCTACAAGGGTTAAGGTTATATGTTAATAAAATGATGAACTAATCAGTACAAAATGAAGTAAATAAATACCTTGAAATTGAGCGTCGATTGATTCCCAACTTATCAAAATCATCTATAGCATGTATTAGACGGTGAATAGCCTGTACAACGTCAGGATCCACAGCTCCAGCTGCTGCTCCTGGCTGCCGCACTCCATCTTTCATTTGGAGTGCTTGTACAAATAATGTCTGCAAGTTAAAACATTATAATGTTAAAACAAGACATGGTTGATCACATTAAGGTAAGTCAGAAAGGCACTGTGCACCATATCCCACCTTCAAAAATGTCATCAAACACAACAGTTTCATGAAATAAATGTATGCAGGGTTTCCACAAAAACACTCCCTGATTTCAAACAGGTATAACATGTAACTTTATTGTAATAATCTTTCACAGTTAGTAGCTTCGGATGCAGGATTTCATTCAGTTTCATGTGGTATAGGGTAGCATGAAAGGAGCTCAATGTGCGCCCCTCTGGTTGCTCGGCAAACATCAATGCTATAGTCCAGTTCGGTCCAGATGCTCTGCAGCATATCTGGTGTTATCATGCGAACTGCTTCAGTGATCGAAATTTTCAGTTCCTCCAGGGATGCAGGTAGTGGTGGTACATAAACTGTGCTCTTCATGTACCCCAAAAGAAAGAAGTCACAAACAGTTAGGTCCGGTGACCTCGCAGGCCACTTGCAGAGGTCACGGAGGAAGAATTCTGTTCCACTTTCCCATGGAAAGCAGTCATCAGCAAAAATCAACTGTGACTAACTGTCATTTTGTGTTAGATCCTGCATATTTTAATCCCACACCTCTTCCCAACACCCTAGCATTTACTTCTTTAACAGCTCCATCTATAAATATGCTAAAACAACCATACACTCAATAAAATCTACCAACTCTACTTAATCACAAGTTGGTACAGTCCAGGCTTCATCCATTGTCATTGTGGTGGTACAGACAAGCCTCTTGTGTCCAACTGGAAATTATGTTGCAAGAGACAATAACTGTTTACGAGAAGTGCAGACAAGAAAAGGAAAAGCAAGCAAGCAGGCAGGCAGCCAGCCCAGCAGCCAACCAGCTTGTGTGTGCTTGCTTGCCTGCCTGTCTGTTAAAGAACTGTAGACTTAATATTTACATTCTTGTTGTCACAAGTCTCCAGTGTCTGGTACATGTACACTCTGCATCGCCCATGTCTGATACATGTGCATTGTCTGAGTCTCCCACGTGTGGTACATGTACACTCTGCATTGCCCGTGTGTGGTACATATACACTCTGCATCGTCTGTGTCTGGTACAAGTGCACTCTGTCTCCTGCATGTGGTACACCATGTACAGTATGCCTGCCTGCCATCTACCCAACCCTCCCTCCCTCCCTCCCGACACCCTCCACCATCACTCCATTAAGATAGGCAAGCAAGCAGACTTTCAATATTTCCATTAAGGGAGAGGGGAGTGAGAGAGAGGGGCAGGGAGGGGGGAGAGGGAGGTGGAGGGGGGAGAGGGAGGTGGAGGGGAGAGAGGGAGTTGGGAGGGAGGAGGTAGAGGGAGGGAGTTGCAAAGAAGGGGGTAGAGAGAGGGAGTTGGGAGAGAGGAGGGAAAAAGGGAGGGGGGAGGGGAGGCAAGGGGATAGAGGAAGGAGGAAGGGAAAGTGGGGAAAGAGTTGAGAAAGGGAGGTCGAGGGAGATATCAAAGTATGCTTGCATTAGTTTTCTTGGTATGTACGCTTACATCACAATACAGTGGACTAAGTCTGTCTTATTTATACGGCATCTGTCCATATCCGGTAGTCAACTGCTTAGGTGGACTACATCCATTTAACCCTCTCACTGTCCAGACTCCTGAAATTAATATTGATCTTAGTGTCCACTTTTTTAAAAAAAAAAAAATAAATGGTAGAGAATCTTTCTGAAGGTAATGACACCAAAAGTATGAAATTTGATGTTAAACTAATGGAATTATGAGGGTGTAAAGTTAATGGCCTTGGCATAATTCATGCAACTGCAATTTTGCTGACTAAGTCCTATTTAAAGTCAATTTCACTGCTTCCTTCTACCAAATTCTTAGCTATTTTGCTAGAATTTCTTCTGTTCTCCTTACTGAATACAAGAAACCACCAATTTAACTATAACAACTATCTTATGAAGTGCACAGAAGTCAGCAATTTGGCCAATTTTACACAAATTAATAAAAAAGATTAGAACAGAGTGCAAAATAAACAATGCAGATATTCCTAGCACTAAAACATTTCCACTGTTCATTAACCATGTCCCCAGGCTTCTCCTCTAGTACACTTGCCTTCCATTTTTAATTCATAATCAAACAAAAATAGAAGAGTTACTCTATTTCCTGGGTAATAAAATATAACTAGGAATCATTTGTCACTGTTTATGGCATCCCAATAATTTAATCAGACTTACCAAAAAGTTATAAAACAGACTGGGGGTGTAGGGAAACCTAACCCATTCTCAGGAAAATCAACAAAAATCTAATATCTCTGCTACGTTGAGCCCAATTTCAAGCTACTTTCATTCTGAAAATCAACTAAAATCATTTCTATTTCAGTAGTATGTCTTCTAGTCTATCAAATGATACTAAGAAACAGCCAATGAAACCATGAAAACTATCCAAGAAAACACCTCAAAATTGCTGTTTAAACCAAACCCATGGTTAGAATTTTGCTTTTTCCATCATGCAATGCATGGGGGCAGGATTTTTTTTATACTCTGAACACTCGCTGCAAAAACCCTTTCTCTCATATCTAGGCCAAAATCTACGGCCCATAGCTTATCTGAGTAAGTGAGCTCATAATGGCATCTGGCCTCAGTGATGCAGTTCTATGTGATGGCCAGTGAATGGGCTAAACGAAATGTTCAATATAACGGAATTTTTCGGTAAATTGGACACCCCATCTCCATCCCCCTTAGTCCATTTTATCAGACTTTTACTATACTAGGTGCCTAACTGTAACCTTAGCTACAATAATGTGCATACTTCTAAAATTCAATAACCTAGCATACTAGACTTACATTTTGTAACAAGTGAAGCATTACTATTTAACCCTTTGAGGGTCGACAGGCCCTCTCCGAAACTCGTTCTCAGGGTCGGCCAAATTTAAAAAAAAAAAAAATTATTTTCTCTTATGAAAAGATAGAGAATCTTTTCCCGATCATAACGACACCAAAAGTTTGAAATTTGATAGAAAACTTACGGAATTATGCTCTCGCAAAGTTAGCGGTCTCGGTGATGTTTACGGATCGGCGATTTTGCCCACTTTGAGCCCCATTTTCGGCCAATTTCACTGTACTAGTCGACAAAAAACATGAATATTTCGCTAGAACTCCATTTTTTCTATCGAATGGGTGCAAGAAACCACCCATTTATAAATTCAACTATCCAGTACAGTGGTCAGAATTTAGCAATTTTGCCAATTTCACACAAATTTCAAAAGATGCCAATTTCGGAATAGGGTCCAGAATAAACAAGAAAGACATTCCTGGCACTAAAATGACATTTCCTCTAGTCATTAGTCACGTCTCAAGGCCCCTCTTATATTCTTTTGCTTTCCACTTTGAATTTTTATTCTCACAAAAAATATAAGATTTACTGTTATGCAGACTACTGCATTACTGTAAAAAATGGTATAAATATTATTGGTGCACTTGTGAAAGAATATTAGACTCGCCAGTTGACGTGTATTGCACGCTTGGCACGATTTGTTTACTTTTGAAGTTTGGTAAAAATCGAACATTTCTGCTACTTTGAGCTCAATTTCAAGGCACCTTTCATTGTAAAACCAGTCAAAATCATCTCAATTTCAGTAATATGTCTTCCATTCTATAAAATGAGACCAAGAAAACTAGAATACAACAATAAATACTATACGAAAATACACTGCAAAGTCGCTGATTTATTAAAAAAAAATGGAAAAAGTTTTTTTTTTCTCATTATGCACCGTGTGCTGCAGGATTTTTTTTAGACTGTGCACACTGACCACATAGACCCATTCTTTCATATGAAGGCCTACCAGCTTTCTCCCACTAGATTTCAGGTCGCTAGAATTTATGAGTACTAGTACGTCAAAAACCCCTACGCGTAAGACGTACTAGTACGACGAAAACCCTCAAAGGGTTAAAAGCTGCACATATTGGGACTAAATTCCCTTTGTAGAATCTATAACTTCTGATATACATCTTAATTCTTTAGAATACTGTGGCAACATAACTCCTAGGTGGTTAAAGTTCCAGATTTTGTGACCTATGAAGTTTGGAGTCAGGCAATATATATAAACTCTCCATTAATAATTTTTAAGTGTAGTTGTAGCTTGGGCTAATGAGAGGCTAATCAGCCTATACCATAAAATTGCAAATCCCTATCACTAAAATATGTTGCACAAGTGTTTGATGTGTCACTTTTGCTCATTTTAGCTTTCTATTTGGATCTTATTCTATTTATCACTCTCTTTCCATAAGCAGTACTCATACTAACTTACATGAAAGGCTTGTGTAATTCCATTGCCTAGAGCAGCAGATGTCAATACATGAGAAAAGCTGTGTTTTTCAGCCCAGCTACGACCATCAGCTTCTGACACTTGCCGTCCACCTGTCCCACCAGTGTCAGTCCTTGTGCCACACACAACTACTGCTAAATTCCATTCATTAGCTCTGAAAGAAATAAGATAAATAATGAACCTCAAAATTAATTTCAACAGTTAATAAACTTTATTTTTTTATTTTTTTCAACAAGTCGGTCGTCTCCCACCGAGGCAGGGTGACCCAAAAAAGAAAGAAAATCTTTAAATAATAAACTTTATTATGATAGTAAAACCAGCACTAACAAGACTTGGATGTAGTGTCACTGTGCCATGTCTCATGGCTTCTTCAGTTGGAAGAGGCAATGTCTTTGTTAATGGAAATTTTATTCCCATATACATTAATGTAGTAGGTTGGTAGACAGCAACCACCCAGGGAGATACTACCGTCCTGCCAAGTGAATGTAAAACAAAAGCCTGTAATTGTTTTACATGATGGTAGGATTGCTGGTGTCTTTTGTCTGTCTCATAAATATGCAAGATTACAGGTATGTCTTGCTACTTCTACTTACACTTAGGTCACACTACACATACATGTACACGTTTATTTATACACACTCATCTGAGTTTTCTTTGATTTTATCTTAATAGTTCTTGGTCTTATTACTTTTCCTTTTATATCCATGGGGAAGTGGAATAAGAATCTTTCCTCCGTAAGCCATGCGTGTTGTAAAAGTCAACTAAAATGCCGGGAACAATGGGCTAGTAACCCCTTTTCCTGTAAAGATTACTAAAAAGAATAAGAAGAAGAAAATTATCAAAGTGGGAAGTCTGAATGTGCGTGGATGTTGTGCAAATGATAAGAAAGAGATGATTGTGGATGTTATGAATGAGAAGAAGCTGGATGTCCTGGCTTTAAGTGAAACAAAGCTGAAGGGGGTGGGAGAGTTTCAATGGAGAGGAATAAATGGGATTAGGTCAGGGGTTTCAAATAGAGTTAGAGCTAAAGAAGGAGTAGCAATAATGTTGAAGGATAAGCTATGGCAGGAAAAGAGGGACTATAAATGTATTAAATCAAGGATTATGTGGAGTAAAATAAAGATTGGATGTGAAAAGTGGGTTATAGTAAGCATGTATGCACCTGGAGAAGAAAGAAGTGTAGAGGAGAGAGAGAGATTTTGGGAAATGTTGAGTGAATGCATGGGGAGTTTTGAATCAAGTGTGAGAGTAATGGTGGTTGGGGATTTCAATGCTAAAGTGGGTAAAAATGTTATGGAGGGAGTAGTAGGTAAATTTGGGGTGCCAGGGGTAAATGTAAATGGGGAGCCTTTAATTGAGCTGTGTAGAAAGAGATTTGGTAATAAGTAATACATATTTTATGAAAAAGAGGATAAATAAATATACAAGGTATGATGAAGCACGTAATGAAAGTAGTTTGTTAGATTATGTATTGGTGGATAATAGGTTGATGGGTAGGCTCCAGGATGTACATGTTTATAGAGGGGCAACTGATATATCGGATCATTATTTAGTTGTAGCTACAGTTAGAGTAAGAGGTAGATGGGAAAAGAGGAAGGTGGCAACAAGTAAGAGGGAGGTGAAAGTGTATAAACTAAGGGAGGAGGAAGTTCGGGGGAGATATAAGCGACTGTTGGCAGAAAGGTGGGCTAGTGCAAAGATGAGTAGTGGGGGGGGGGGTTGAAGAGGGTTGGAATAGTTTTAAAAATGCAGTATTAGAATGTGGGGCAGAAGTTTGTGGTTATAGGAGGGTGGGGGCAGGTGGAAAGAGGAGTGATTGGTGGAATGATGAAATAAAAGGGTGTGATAAAAGAGAAAAAGTTAGCTTATGAGAGGTTTTTACAAAGCAGAAGTGTTATAAGAAGAGCAGAGTATATGGAGAGTAAAAGAAAGGTGAAGAGAGTGGTGAGAGAGTGCAAAAGGAGAGCAGATGATAGAGTGGGAGAGGCACTGTCAAGAAATTTTAATGAAAATAAGAAAAAATTTTGGAGTGAGTTAAACAAGTTAAGAAAGCCTAGGGAAAGTATGGATTTATCAGTTAAAAACAGAGTAGGGGAGTTAGTAGATGGGGAGAGGGAGGTATTAGGTAGATGGCGAGAATATTTTGAGGAACTTTTAAATGTTGAGGAAGAAAGGGAGGCGGTAATTTCATGCACTGGTCAGGGAGGTATACCATCTTTTAGGAGTGAAGAAGAGCAGAATGTAAGTGTGGGGGAGGTACGCGAGGCATTACGTAGAATGAAAGGGGGTAAAGCAGCTGGAATTGATGGGATCATGACAGAAATGTTAAAAGCAGGGGGGGATATAGTGTTGGAGTGGTTGGTACTTTTGTTTAATAAATGTATGAAAGAGGGGAAGGTACCTTGGGATTGGCAGAGAGCATGTATAGTCCCTTTATATAAAGGGAAAGGGGACAAAAGAGATTGTAAAAATTATAGAGGAATAAGTTTATTGAGTATACCAGGAAAAGTATACAGTAGACGGTAAGACAGAATGTAGGATTGCGGATGAGCAAGGAGGTTTCAGAGTGGGTAGGGGATGTGTAGATCAAGTGTTTACATTGAAGCATATATGTGAACAGTATTTAGATAAAGGTAGGGAAGTTTATATTGCATTTATGGATTTAGAAAAGGCATATGATAGAATGGATAGGGGAGCAATGTGGCAGATGTTGCGAGTATATGGAATAGGTGGTAAGTTACTAAATGCTGTAAAGAGTTTTTATGAGGATAGTGAGGCTCAGGTTAGGGTGTGTAGAAGAGGGGGAGATTACTTCCAGGTAAAAGTAGGTCTTAGACAGGGATGTGTAATGTCACCATGGTTGTTTAATATATTTATAGATGGGGTTGTAAAAGAAGTAAATGCTAGGGTGTTCGGGAGAGGGGTGGGATTAAATTATGAGGAATTAAATACAAAATGGGAAGTGACAGTTACTTTTTGCTGATGATACTGTGCTTATGGGAGATTCTAAAGAAAAATTCCAAAGGTTAGTGGACGAATTTGGGAATGTGTGTAAAGGTAGAAAGTTGAAAGTGAACATAGAAAAGAGTAAGGTGATGAGAGTATCAAATGATTTAGATAAAGAAAAACTGGGTATCAAATTGGGGAGGAATAGTATGGAAGAAGTGAATGTTTTCAGATATTTGGGAGTTGACGTGTCAGTGGATGGATTTATGAAAGATGAGGTTAATCAAAGAATTGATGAGTGGTGCATTGAGGTATATGTGGAGGCAAAAAATGTTATCTATGGAGGCAAAGAAGGGAATGTATGAAAGTATAGTAGTACCAACACTCTTATATGGGTGCGAAGCTTGGGTTGTAAATGCTGCAGCGAGGTGCAAAGTGACATTAAAACAATAAAGATGGCTGACACAAACCCACTACCATTATAGTATGCTCCTCACTTAACGACGAATTCCTTTACTGACGTGGTCATAGGAGCGGAACTCCATTGTTAAGTCAGGAGAGGCTGTATTTGTATAAGTCACCACAAGGCATAAGAGGGTTAGTGATAACAGCCAACCAAAAAGAAAACTGGTTGGGAAAAATTTGTTCTGTACTTGAACAGATCAGCACTTGAACAACCTGCTGGAACCAATTAAGTTTGAGTGCCGAGGTTCCACTGTAGTTTGCCTTTTATTCCTCCCAAGTCCGATAGTTCCCAGATAACTTTCATAAGAACTCAACCGAAAGCTTCGTGGAAACCTAAAGAAATATCATCTGCTCATCTGACTCTTTACTAAATAATTCAGATGAATAATCATGGTAGTCTTATACATTTCATATAATTGACAGCACAAGATTTTTCTCCTCAAAAACCAGAGTTTTACAGCAGGCATTTTAGAGTCCAATTTTGTCCTAATGTACAGCATATTATGGACAACCTTCTTGTCAATACACCTAAGTAAGCCATGTGACATCTAGTTTTTATGAGTGATTTTGTTCTTAAGAGGACAGTGTTAATTCCAGAGAATTTAGAAGTTAACATGTTCACACTTACGTTAACGTATTCTAGTTATTTTTTTAAAGGCACACTATTCCAGAAGCTTGCAGCTTGAGTCCTCCAGCTGACTGAAATTATCATTAAAAATTTCCAACAATTATTTGGTGATACTTGGTCTAATAATAATGATTAGGTCTTCAAGGCTGTCAAAGAAGCTTGTATGTCGGTATGTAGAATTCTGTATAATGCTTCAACTGAAATTAACATCTTAATTGTAGAGATGTGTATAGTATTTGTATAGCAGTGTATGATACCACCTCCCTTTAATGATGCTCTAACAAAACAAAAACAAAACAAAAAAAAAACTAGATTTCTATAAAGTGGAGTACAATATATTATACAATTAAAGTTGACACATAAATACTTTATTGAAATCCCATTGTTATGGAAAGCATTTTAGGCAGCCTTAAAATTAAAATATGATTATACGAATATTAAAATAAGAATGTATAGTTAATAAAATATTGGAGGTATTTAGTAACTCAATAAAAGCTTAAAACTAAATTATGATTTAAAGTAATATATGAGAATAAAGGGCATGTGTCTCCATGGGGAAGTGGAGCAGAATTCTTCCTCTGTCAGCCATGCATGTCGTAAGAGGCGACTAAAATGCCAGGAGCAAGGGGCAAGTAACCCTTTCTCCTGTATAAATTACTAAATTTAAAAAGAGAAACGTTTTTTTTCTTTCTGGGTCACCCTGCCTCAGTGGGATACGGTCGGTTTGTTAAAAGATTAAGAAAGAGCATGTGTGTGTATTAGGGGGGGGGGTAGAACCTAGTCGTGAGTTTGTTTATGTCTGGCACTTAGGGGACAGAGGATGGAGCCTTGATCCCTTGTTGCACTGAATGACTCCTTTGGGTGTAGAGCTTCAAATAAAAATAATGCTGATACCAATGTGTATAGCTATGTAATATGAATTCAAATTTTTAAGTGCTTGTGGTGAAAGCTAACATATATAGCTGACAACAAAGAGAAACTCACTACAAACCTTCTTCCTGGCATGAAGACTGCATAAAGATCAGGTTCCCTCCATCACCAAGCTGCTTGCCAAGGGTAATAGTTTTTAGCCACACACTGATAACAAATGTTTGAGTAACAGTCTTTAAATAACATGCATTATAACAGAAATATGAAAATAAAAGGTATAGCACTTGTTCAATCCTGGTCTACTACATAACAAATGACTTAAGGTCAAACAGAAAAAATGCTGGGTTTATTAATGATGGATAAATGTGAACATTACTTCCTCTGCATGTATGAATTCCATGTTGAAGAATTCAACTATTGGCGAACTTGTCTTATATTTTATTGCTCATAATCTGAGAGCCAGCTTATGGTTTAGCAACTTATATATGCTAGTCTCCACACACAGCTGTATTAACAACTTATGAACTCGTCTCCAAACCAGTTAGTGCTGCTCGCTAACACTAGCCCACATGGGTAAACACATACTATTCTACCACAGATTACATATTACAGCTATTGTGTAACTGTATTGAATTGTTTTTGTTTAACACACTGGCAGTCTCCCACTGAAAAAGAAACTCTTTTACCATCATTCACACAATCATTCTTGCCAGAGGCACACAGAAACAGACAGTTTAGAAGTCACTCTAAACAGCAAATATCCCAAATACCTCCTTTAGAATGCAGGCACTGTACTTCCCACCTCCAGGACTCAAGTCCGGCTAACTGGTTTCCCTGAATACCTTCACAAAATATTACCCTGCTCACACTCCAACAGCTCGTCAAGTCCCAAAAACTATTTGTCTCCATTCACTCCTATCTAACATGCTCACACATGCCTGCTGTATGTCCAAACCCCTTGCACACAAAACCCTCCTTTACCCCCTCCTTCCAAACTGTTAGGCTATCTTTTTTCCAGCTCCAATGTCTTGAAGCCAAAAAAGGGAGTAGCCACCACTGGGCATGTACAGGTATCCATCACTTCAAGTAATAGATGGGTTTCTGGCCCATGATGAAACAAAATATTAAAATGAACCAAATCAAACATGTAAAAGTAGATACTGGTATGTTTTGAAGATTTCTGTTAGTAGGAGAAGGTTTTCATGTTTTTTTCTTGGTGTGTGATCGGGGTGTATATGCTACGTCAGCATCGTCGCTTGTCTGTTATTGTATCTTGGCAGATGGCTTTAAGTCACTCTGCCCCTTAATGCACAAATAATCTGTGAATCAGCATTGCATCATGAGGGGGTCAGAGGTACCAGAGGGAGGGCAGGTATAATGCCAGTATTCTGTTCAAGCAATATGTGACTGCCCAAGAGTAATTCTGGGTTCTGAGGAGGGTCTGTGGCCATTTTAGAGTCAGTCACTTGGGATCCTGGAGTGTCTCATTTATCCTAAGATAAAAAAATTAGGGGCAGTTCAAAAAACAAAACTTGAGATGAAAAAAATTATAGCAACCATTTCAAGGTACGCCTTTGGCATACCTAAAATTAGTTTGAAAATTATATAATTAGATCACTAAGAACTAAATAATATAAGGTAATCTTGTAGGCCTATTTTTTACTGTACTTCATACTTTCTGCCCTACAAGCCTAAGGAAATGAGTACTGCCATCTGGCAAGGCTGTGGGAACGGACTCATCACTCTGAGGTGACTGACAACCAGCCTACACGGGACATTGTGTCTGCATTTGGTTCATGGTAATTTTCACTCTGGTAGTAGTTTTTGCAATTTGCTGAAGTATGTCTATGTATGGGGACAATGGGAGTCTGGAATACACACCTTCTATATTTATGTAAATATAAATATAATTCTGATATTGGCAGTTTGGAGGGATATGTTGTGTATCTTTATACGTATATGCTTCTAAACTGTTGTATTCTGAGCACCTCTGCAAAAACAGTGATTATGTGTAAATGAGGTGAAAGTGTTGAATGATGAAAGTATTTTCTTTTTGGGGATTTTCTTTCTTTTTTGGGTCACCCTGCCTCAGTGGGAGACGGCCGATTTGTTGAAAAAAAAAAAAAACTATAAATTCACCAATTACAGGCTTTTCTCTGAACACATCACTTGCTAATGCAGAGTACAGTACTGTATTATGATTTCTTACACACAATCTTAACCATTTCAGTGTAATATTTAATGTATACTGAGTACAGCTGGAAAACTGAGTCTTGCTAAACAAGAAAAATGTTCTCATTTTTTCATTTGCACAATGATTAAGTTTATCAAATGCTGTTTTTTTATGGAAGTAAATCAAATGAATGTTCAAGAAGGTAAATAACATTACAAAATGTACTGTACAGGAGGGCACCACCATTATAAAGCGGAAATCGCCATAAAGCAGAGTGCCATAAAGAGGAGCCTTCCTATATAGTCCAATACCTCAGAATAGCCCAGAAAAAAGGAGGCATATTTTTCATTTATAAACCCAACATATGTTTTAGCCTAAAAATATTATTTAACAGCACAAAAAATCAAGTTAGTTTCTCACAGGTAAGATTAGTTTAATAATAAAAAAATTATATCATGATTTGGAAAGAAATTTAATAAATGCATTAAAATTTCTCTCTTACATGTAGAATTTCTCCATCACAAGAATGTATATGGAATATTAATATCTTACATGCATGAGCATCGTAAAGAATATCGATACTGTATTAAAATATGACCTACCTAATTCAATGAAGAAAAAATACTGAAGTGGCATGTTATTATTACTTGAAAATGACAGACAGATAATAAATAGAGTTGAAGTAAACACAGTAGTAAATACTTACACTCCTAGGTTATGTCTTAACTCAGCTAACCAGGCATCCAAAGCAATAAATGATGATCTATCAGTCACATCGTACGTTAACAAGATCCCCTGCATATCTCGATAAAATTCTGATCTAACCTGGAAATAAACAATTATGTACAGTAGTAGTATGCTATATATAGAGTATTTGAAATGTAAATAGGTATCAGAGTATTTTATAATGAAAACATGAATAAGCAATTATCCTTCCTTCATTCTGTTTTCTGAACAATTTTCATATTCAGTAGGGCCCCACTCATACGGCAGGTTAGGTTCCAGGCTACTGACGGAAAGCAGACATCGCCGGAAAGCAGAACACAATTTTTTCCACTTATAAATGCATATAAATGCCAGATAACAAGTTTACACTAACATATATTAAGTTAGCAATAGAACTAGGCATTAAAAACAATAAAAAGTAAAATACTTACCTTAAAATATTTGCAGTCTTAATGTAGGGTAAGAGGTGAGTTTTATTTGTAGGAAGTCAGATTTGGAAAGTATGGTAGCCAGCCAGGGCAGCCCACCCCCACCCACACGTAATGTGAACAAACCAGGCAAACGCGTCTGGTTTTCATTCACACTTTATTGATGGGATAAAGATAGAAATGTTAAAAGCAGGTGGGGATATAGTTTTGGAGTGGTTGGTGCAATTATTTAATAAATGTATGGAAGAGGGTAAGGTACCTAGGGATTGGCAGAGAGCATGCATAGTTCCTTTGTATAATGGCAAAGGGGACAAAAGAGAGTGCAAAAATTATAGGGGGATAAGTCTGTTGAGTATACCTGGTAAAGTGTATGGTAGAGTTATTATTGAAAGAATTAAAAGTAAGATGGAGAATAGGATAGCAGATGAACAAGGAGGCTTTAGGAAAGGTAGGGGGTGTGTGGACCAGGTGTTTACAGTGAAACATATAAGTGAACAGTATTTAGATAAGGCTAAAGAGGTCTTTGTGGCATTTATGGATTGGAAAAGGCGTATGACAGGGTGGATAGGGGGGCAATGTGGTAGATGTTGCAGGTGTATGGTGTAGGAGGTAGGTTACTGAAAGCAGTGAAGAGTTTTTACGAGGATAGTGAGGCTCAAGTTAGAGTACATAGGAAAGAGGGAAATTATTTCCCAGTAAAAGTAGGCCTTAGACAAAGATGTGTGATGTCACCGTGGTTGTTTAATATATTTATAGATGGGGTTGTAAGAGAAGTAAATGCGAGGGTCTTGACAAGAGGCGTGGAGTTAAAAGATAAAGAATCACACAAAGTGGGAGTTGTCACAGTTGCTCTTTGCTGATGACACTGTGCTCTTTGGAGATTCTGAAGAGAAGTTGCAGAGATTGGTGGATGAATTTGGTAGGGTGTGCAAAAGAAGAAAATTAAAAGTGAATACAGGAAAGAGTAAGGTTATGAGGATAACAAGAATATTAGGTGATGAAAGACTGGATATCAGATTGGAGGGAGAGAGTATGGAGGAGGTGAATGTATTCAGATATTTGGGAGTGGACGTGTCAGCGGATGGGTCTATGAAGGATGAGGTGAATCATAGAATTGATGAGGGGAAAAGGGTGAGTGGTGCACTTAGGAGTCTGTGGAGACAAAGAACTTTGTCCTTGGAGGCAAAGAGGGGAATGTATGAGAGTATAGTTTTACCAACACTCTTATATGGGTGTGAAGCATGGGTGATGAATGTTGCAGCGAGGAGAAGGCTGGAGGCAGTGGAGATGTCAAGTCTGAGGGCAATGTGTGGTGTGAATATAATGCAGAGAATTCGTAGTTTGGAAGTTAGGAGGAGGTGCGGGATTACCAAAACTGTTGTCCAGAGGGCTGAGGAAGGGTTGTTGAGGTGGTTCGGACATGTAGAGAGAATGGAGCGAAACAGAATGACTTCAAGAGTGTATCAGTCTGTAGTGGAAGGAAGGCGGGGTAGGGGTCGGCCTAGGAAAGGTTGGAGGGAGGGGGTAAAGGAGGTTTTGTGTGCAAGGGGCTTGGACTTCCAGCAGGAATGCGTGAGCATGTTTGATAGGAGTGAATGGAGACGAATGGTTTTTAATACTTGACGTGCTGTTGGAGTGTGAGCAAAGTAACATTTATGAAGGGGTTCAGGGAAACCGGCAGGCCGGACTTTAGTCCTGGAGATGGGAAGTACAGTGCCTGCACTCTGAAGGAGGGGTGTTAATGTTGCAGTTTAAAAACTGTAGTGTAAAGCACCCTTCTGGCAAGACAGTGATGGAGTGAATGATGGTGAAAGTTTTTCTTTTTCGGGCCACCCTGCCTTGGTGGGAATCGGCCAGTGTGATAATAAAAAAAAAAAAAAAAATTTTTTTAACAAGTCGGCCATCTCCCACCGAGGCAGGGTGACCCAAAAAGAAAGAAAATCCCCAAAAAGAAAGTACTTTCATCATTCAACACTTTCACCACACACACATATAATCACTGTTTTTGCAGAGGTGCTCAGAATACAATAGTTTAGAAGTATATATGTATAACGATACACAACATATCCCTCCAAAACTGCCAATATCCAAACCCCTCCTTTAAAGTGCAGGCATTGTACTTCCCATTTCCAGGACTCAAGCTCGGCTATATAAAAATAACCAGTTTCCCTGAATCCCTTCACTAAATACTACCCTCCTCACACTCCAACTCATCAGGTCCCAAATACCATTTGTCTCCCTTTACTCCTAACACGCTCACGCACGTTTGCTGGAAGTCCAAGCCCCTTGCCCACAAAACCTCCTTTACCCCCTCCCTCCAACCTTTTCGAGGACGACCCCTACCCCGCCTTCCTTCCCCTACAGATTTATACGCTCTCCATGTCATTCTACTTTGATCCATTCTCTCTAAATGACCAAACCACCTCAGCAACCCCTCTTCAGCCCTCTGACTAATACTTTTATTAACTCCACACCTTCTCCTAATTTCCACACTCCAAATTCTCTGCATAATATTTACACCACACATTGCCCATAGACAAGACATCTTCACTGCCTCCAACCGTCTCCTCGCTGCAGCACTGACAACCCAAGCTTCACACCCATAAGTGTTGGTACCACTAAACTTTCATACATTCCCTTTTTTGCCTCCATAGATAACTTTTTTGTCTCCACATATACCTCAACACACCACTCACTTTTTTTCCTTCATCAATTCTATGATTAACCTCATCCTTCATAAATCCATCCGCTGACACGTCAACTCCCAAATATCTTAAAACATTCACTTCTTCCATACTCCTCCTCTCCAATTTGATATCCATTTTTCTTTATCTAAATCATTTGATACCCTCATCACCTTACTCTTTTCTATGTTCACTTTCAACTTCCTACCTTTACACACACTTCCAAACTCATCCACTAACCTTTGCAATTTTCCTTTAGAATCTCCCATAAGCACAGTATCATCAGCAAAAAGAAACTGTCAATTCCCATTTTGTATTTGATTCCCCATAATTTAATCCCACCCCTCTCCCCAACACCCCAACATTTACTTCTTTTATAACCCCATCTATAAATATATTAAACAACCATGGTGACATTACACATCCCTGTCTAAGACCTACTTTTACCTGGAAGTAGTCTCCCTCTCTTCTACACACCCGAACCTGAGCCTCACTATCCTCATAAAAACTCTTTACAGCACTTAGTAACTTATTACCTATTCCATATACATGTCCTTGCAACATTTGCCACACTGCTCCCCTATCCACTCTATCATATGCCTTTTCTAAATCCATAAATGCAATGAAAACTTCCCTACCTTTATCTAAATACTGTTCACATATATACTTCAATGTAAACACTTGATCTACACATCCACCACCCACTCTAAAACCTCCTTGCTCATCCACAATCCTACATTCTGTCTTACCTCAAATTCTTTCAATAATAACCCTACCATACACTTTTCCTGGTATACTCAGTAAACTAATTCCTCTATAATTTTTACAATCTCTTTTGTCCCCCTTTCCTTTATATAAAGGAACAATACATGCTCTCTGCCAATCCCTAGGTACCTTCCCCTCTTTCATAAATTTTTTTTTTTCAACAAACCGACCGTATTCCACTGAGGCAGGGTGGCCCAAAAAGAAAAACGAAAGTTTCTCTTTTTAAATTTAGTAATTTATACAGGAGAAGGGGTTACTAGCCCCTTGCTCCTGGCATTTTAGTCGCCTCTTACAACACGCATAGCTTACGGAGGAAGAATTCTGTTCCACTTCTCCATGGAGTTTCATACATTTATTAAACAAAAATACCAACCACTCTAACACTATATCCCCTCCTGCTCTTAACATGTCTGTCATGATCCCGTCAGTTCCAGCTGCTTTACCCCCTTTCATTCTATGTAATGCCTCACACACCTTCCCCACACTCACATCCTCCTCTTCTTCACTCCTAAAAGATGGTATACCTCCCTGGCCAGTGCATGAAATTACCGCCTCCCTGTCTTCGTCGACATTTAAAAGTTCACACAAATTTATATTAAACCATAATATAAACACTCTGCATTGTGTACAAGTTGTCTCCATGTTGATACAGTAGAATAAATAAATAAAAACACTCCCATTCTCATGTAACACCATTTTTAGAAGAAATGACACTCTAAGTGAAAGCATACGAAAGGAACAATTTTCTAGTTACCCCCATTAATATTATAGTGTATACATTTTCTCTGTTTGCCTGGCTGCTTCATCTTATATTTATGTTAATTTATTCTACTGTGGGGTGTATTTATCATGTTTATATGTTACGTAGCGTGTTTATTATATAACATTGAAAAAATATCATAAATGGATTAATGGAAATGTCTATATTAATGTAATATATGACATTTAATGTGCCCAAGAGATTACTTATTATTATTAATATGGCATCAAGAGTAGAGAGAGACTTAGTGATTTTAATGTGTACTTGCATGCCAGCACAGTCTTTAACCCTTAAACTGTCCAAACGTAGATCTACGTTTTTTTCAACATTTGAAAGTATGTAAAACAAGTAGATCTTCTTTGTTTTTGTTTTTTAGATTTGAAAACGTGTAAAAAAACTTTGAGCTCCTTTTTTTTTTTGTTATATTTGAAAATATGTAAAAGAAATGAATTCTACTTTTGG